TCTAGAATGCTTAGGATTATATTTAGGATAATTCTACCGCCAGCATTGTGGAATCATCGTCGAATAATCGTTTCTTTTTTTTTCTTCTTTTTTTTTTTCTGAGGCGGGGAGATGAGCGGCTAAATATCCAGCACGATTTAAAACAGAACCTGTCAAGATCGGATGACCATTATAGTAATGTCAACGGCCCTGTAGCAGAATGGAGTAGACTGAGGTCCATAAATATATATGCAACCAGTGCGGTGATATATATATATATCCGGGTTTGGGGGTTCCAGAATGAATCAGCTGAAAAAAAATCATGGTAAAATTGAATTTTAAAAGATTGACATGTAAAGGCGCTATTTCCAATAAACATTGTAGGTAATGTTCTATTTTAAAACTCGATCTAAGGCAGGTTAAGTTAATAAAAAGATTAAACTAATTTTATTCGTTCAAATAATATTCAGTAATTGATCCCTGATTTGTCTTGCAAGCTAATTAGATAGTGTGATCGATATGTGTCGCAATGAGTTCTTTTGTCCTTGTGACAAACACTGACAGAGGACTGGCACAAAATGAAGGTGAACACGAGAAGGTCGTTCGAGCATTCGCGATTGTGTTTTTTGTGTCAATGAAATTTATGCTCGTAAACACCAAAATGATTTTAATCAAAAGATATACAAATAGGAAGGGTTTGTTTGCTTTATCTATAATTGTTTTCTTGATTACTCTTTCTTCCACTTCAAATTAATTCTAATAATTATATTAATACGGCAATGACATTGAAATCGAGTTAGTGAGTGTATATAAAATCCGTGGAGAAGCATACGCATATTGCTTTGAAGCAATGCCTGTTGATGTCATCACTATTCTGGATAATCTCATTCCTGTATGGTTACCAATGATTATTGATATATATTCGGATATGGGGATACTTTGACGTGGTGCAATGGTTGATAAGCTTGTCTCTCTAGAACATTTACGATTGTGTAGAGAGTTCGAACCTAAATGGGCGCGTTATACTTTAGTCCTTGTACTACAAAGAGTTCCATCTATCTTTCCTATTAATATTTCATAATTGATCTGACGAGCTTTTCACTTTGGTACCTCGAATTCACGAATTTAAATGCAGATTGGCAATTAGGTCTCATTATTTTACTATTGAAATTGGTAGATGTAACCAAAGGTACTCTGCAAACAGTTACTTCTATCCCATTGCTCGCTTGTAATGCTTTCTACCGGATATTTGCTTTACTGCCAATCGTTTGTCTCTTTGAATCCTATTATTTTTATTATTTTTTCTTGCCAATGATTTATTTTCAGATTCTTTCACTCGCAGTATTTCCTTGCGTCTTAGTGGCTTTATCGTTAAGACACCGGGAGTGCTGAAATAAAATGTCTATTTTTGTAGTGATTTTATAGCAGGTTTATGTTATAAATTTTCTAAATAAATAATTATATATATATATATATATATTCCTTATTTCTTCCTTAAAAACACACGCAATCACATATATTTGTGTATGGTGGGTCAAATAATGTATGTACCTTCCATATTTTCATACAGAAATTATCACAACTTTGAAGGTTTATAAATCAAACCATTTTAAAAACACTGTTGCACATATTTGCCAATCCTTTTCCAAAAGGAATCAATTCTGAAAGTTCACTCAAATCCTATTGTGGAACATGACAGCATTAATATTTCGGCCAACCCTGTTCAGTGAAATTATAAGAAACTGATGTACAAACTAATATATCTTCTTAAATCTACAGGTGCGATTTCATAAGCGTAATATTTGCTCCCTTTGTTTAATTCTTTGTAAGTTTTCCTTTTTTAATCAATAATTCCTGCTCTCTATTCAGTAACTATGGAAACGCTATGAACATGCTTATCCTTAAGAAGGATCAATTCATTCTCATAGGACAGAAAGGATTAGCGAATCACGAAAAGAGTTTGCTATATATTAATCCGTCTTAAGCAGGATAACGTAATGTAATGCATAACAGTTTGGCCGGACAAATCGGAGAGCCGTGTTCGAAATCTAGTCGTGTTCGTTATATTCACATAACGGGCAAATATCCTTGGAAATATATGAATCCATCATCCGCCTCCCCCAGCTACGTATTGAAGAGCAGAACACGCTGGTTCCTATAACCTTGGTTGGCAACCAGTCTACTATAGAAAGAAACAGTAGCCTACTGCAGGAAAATCTTCTGCCTAGTCAGTGAACAATAGAAGAAAACATGGTCACCCAAGGGGGTATCACATATGTCACCTGACAGACTGACTGAAATAGGAACAATTCTGAAAGTAAGCACAACGTAAAACACAGGAATTTATGAAACAAGAAACTAAATAAAAAAAATTCTAACTGTTCCTCGGTGTGGGGTAAGGATTAATAATTAATCCTGGTTGACGATTATTACTGAATGGGAAGACTGATTATGACTGGGTACCCCACTTTTGTGCTAAAATAAGCTAAACTTAATAAATTGTGCACACCTTTATGGATAATAGTGAGGTAGTCAGGTTAAGTAGTTATTTTAATCTTTATTGTTTGCTCAATATTTGTGGCCTTGTGTCTATCTAAAATATGTAGATTAATTTACTGTATGGAAATATTATTCACCAATTTCCCATGCCTAATTTCGTTCAAGTGTTTGTAAAGCCATACAAACTTAACAATTCTTAACAATGCTCGGCACGAATCCATAGAAAATTAAGAACATTAAATTTTGATTTGTTACGCCAGTTTTTTATTTGTTACACTATTTTCACTTAAAAGTCGTAAATGCCTATCCATGACACCCACTAGAAGGGAATGAGTCACTACATACTGGTTTTCGTTTATTTTGTTTTACGGGATATCAACCTCAATGGTTTATTTAATGCCGGCAATATCTTTAGAATAGGTCCGTAGGAATAGAATATGCATTAACATTTTATTTTTAAAAGTGTATTTTGGTAATATTATTTTGCAAAAATGTGCTGCAACAATCATTTTTTTATTTTTTTATCACAGTTTGAAGGGTTAACTATTAGCTTATCGCAGTGTTTCGTAACAGGGGCTACCACTCCAAGTCAGGGTGGACCTGGGAACAACAATTAAGAGGTAGTTCCACAAATCTTCCCGATCAGAGGCCTTGCTGCCGGATATAATTTATCGTCAGACTCAGGACGAATTAGGGGGTGGGGTCGTTACCTCATTTTTTTGGTTTTCTCATCTTCAGATGGTGTGCTGGTTTTCAAGCATTACCCCTCTTCTGAAGCCCATTTGTGCTTTTTCTGCTCCCACAGAGACGACCTGTGATTGATACTTCAAATATGATTAACGGATATTATTTACAGATAAAGTAAGTCGCCTATATGCTTACATTCAATTTTGATTTCAGAGTCGACCTTCTCTTATACAGGTTGTTAAATACGGTGAGAGATCCCAGACAATCCGTCTATTTAACCCTTAGGTGGGATAGTTTGATAGCGCTCACATGTCTATTTGTGCGAAAGTGAATGCCAAGATCTATACCTGATTTTGTACTCTGCTCGTTATTTTTTTCATTACTAGCCTCTAACAATTACACCACCAGACCGGGCGGTGCGATTATGGGAAAGGAAATCTGCACAATATTAAAGGCAGGTCTTTTAGCAAAAGAGGAACGAAAACAAAATAAAATGGAAAAATTATTATGATTTTGCCCGGTAAGTACTAATGTTGTGATTGTTTGATTGATTTATTTATTTTACGTTTTATCAACACTTTATCTGGCGGCATTTAAGTTAGCTCCTGAGGAGTGCGCTTGATTGGGCCTTCATCACAATAAGAAGGGAGGAGTAGATGCGATAGGCAACAATAAGCTACAAAAGAACTCAAAATTGATCGCTGCATTTAAGTATAGCATTAATATGTAAGCATACCTTTAAAAAATGGACGACAGGTCTTCTAACGCCACTCAGTTTAAAGACAATTGGATGTACGTAGGTTCTTACTTCCTGTACAAAGAATTATTTTTATTTCATGGGTGACTTTTGCTAGATTTCGTACATAATTTCGATTAATACCAAATGTATTTCCAATTTATAAAAATGGCTATCGGGCCAAAAATAGGGCGCAAAATTTTCGGAACAAATCGTCGAATACAATTGCAATAATGAAATGTTGAGAATCCAAAATTTCAGGATTGCGGTTCCGGATCTGATCTGGTATGTTTTTAATTTACTCATGGAGTCGGCCTGATTCCAAAATGGTAGGAGTAAAGTTGAAAAACTGTGACACACTGGCAGAGTGGAATTCGCATTTATTATATAGATTATAAGAATAATTCTTTTTTCCTGTTAGAGAATACTGGACTCCTCTCTCTCTCTCCTCTCTATCACTCTTACTCTCTCTCTCTCGGTATATATATATATATATATATATATATATATATATATATATATATATGTGTGTGTGTGTGTATGTATGTATATATATATATATATATATATATATATATATATATATATATATATATATACTGTGTATGTATCTATATAAGAATAAATAGATAAACGTCTGTATGTGAATATGCATTCATCTGTGAGTAATTCGCATGTATATTTGTGTTGCAGTGAAAGCCAAAACGGAATAAAAAAAAAAGATGTACGAAATTATACATTATGACAATCATTTCTATTTTTCATGCCAGGAAATGCAGTTATCACGATGTCACTACGAGCATATTGTAGCGAAACAGACGCAATCTTCTTCCTAAACTTGGTCATAATCTCTCTCCCTTTATTCGCAAAAAGGAAGTCGAATTCATCTCTTCACAAATGATTGGTAATCTTATTCTCTCCCCCCTCTCTCTCTCTCTTACCCACTTTCTCTCGCTCAAACACACACACGCGCGCACACACACAGTCTCCTTTTTATTCACAAAAAAAAAAATTATATCTCTTCCACCCACCGTCTACACCCCGCCATATCAACTTCATACCAGATTCGCAAAAGATCAGAAACAACTTTTTGAGTCGCCTATCGGTTTTCAAACGTAACCTGTAACCCTTTTTGATATTCCACTTCCTCGACATTTTCCCGGTTCTTCTCTTTGGCATTTGGAAGTATTGCCGGCAGGCGCCAGCCTTGAGTGTTTGCTTCAGATACAGCATCGTTGGCACCTGAGTAAAAGAAAAAAACAGTAGAAGAAAGAAAGAAGAGAAAGAAACAGATAAAGAAAGCAACCGAAGGAAAGAATGAAAGCAAAGGAGAAAAAAGATGAAAGAAAGAAAGAAAGAAAGAAAGAAAGAAAGAAAGAAAGAAAGAAAGAAAGAGAAAAATAACGGATAAAGAAAACAACGGAAGGAAAAATGAAATCAAAAGAAAAGAAAAGAAAGAAAAAAAAAGAAAGAAAGAAAGAAAGAGAAAAATAACGGATAAAGAAAACAACGGAAGGAAAAATGAAATCAAAAGAGAAAAAGAATGTGAAAGAAAGAAAGAAAGAAAGAAAGAAAGAGAAAAATAACGGATAAAGAAAACAACGGAAGGAAAAATGAAATCAAAAGAGAAAAAGAATGTGAAAGAAAGAAAGAAAGAAAGAAAGAAAGAAAGAAAGAAAGAAAGAAGAAAAATAACGGATAAAGAAAACAACGGAAGGAAAAATGAAATCAAAAGAGAAAAAGAATGTGAAAGAAAGAAAGAAAGAAAGAGAAAAAAGGGATAAAGAAAGCAACGGCGGAAGGAAAATGAAATCAAAAGAGAAAAAGGATGTGAAAGAAAGAAAAGAAAGAAAGAAAAGAAAGAAAGAAAGAAAGAAAGAAAGATTGAGAAATGTAACGGATATTGAAAGCAATAGTAGGAAAGAATGAAAGCATCAGAGAAAAAGAAAGAATGAAACAGATAAAGAAAAAATGGGGAAAGAAAGTAAAGGAAGAAAATTTTGACAGCAACGATGAAAAAGAAAGAAACGAAGAAAATGAGACAGTAAAAAAAAAAGGAGTTAAAACAAGACGGAGAAAAATAGCAACAAGAGAGGGTCATTAAATTCACTAACATTCAGAACAACAGGATGTCACCACAGCATGGTGTAATGGTTAACGGGGTAAACTGGTTGACTATTGTTATTGAATCTTTGTTCGAACCACCCCTGGTGCACATTACGTTTTACAATTTACAATAACAATTTAAAATTTGACAAGCAGTAAAACACAAAAGCAAGAGAATATAAACATTTATAAAAAAAATAAAAAAATAAAAAAAAAAATAAACGAAAACAAAAAGTAGCATTATAAAGTATTTCCTTCATCGTCATCTCTAATATTTTCCTCGTAACCTTTGACGTATTAATCTATAACGTTTTTGGGTCTCCTTCAACTTTTCAGCAAAATAGTAATGGCAATATTAGTCGTTTCCTTATGAGGAAACATTTGGCATTCACTGACCTAGCAGTCAGAGCTACTCTAGTTACGCTTTTTCTTCACTTCTTGGACATCGGGCAGTGATGAAAGTGTAGTATCTGTTCTACTAACCTCTAATGCCAATGGTAATATTAACTGTTTCCTCATGAGGAATTTATTAACCGAGCAGACAGTGCTACTGCCGGTTGGAATTTATAAAATCTTTCTATTAAAACAATTTTTCAGGAAAAATAATTTTCTCAATTCTAGAAGCTGCTATCGCTCTTTCCACTATTGATGGGGTTTCCTTCTTCCTTTTATTTGAAGTAGTCAAAAAATATCAACATATTGATTATGACATTATGTTCTCTTCGAGTGCTTCCCATTTCAGTTGTTGCTGTTATTAAAGTCTTTTAAGTGATATGGTTTCTGTTCTCCGGTACTGTTCTTTGTTTGTGATTCTGTAGCGCCAGTCAACAAGGTTCGAAGAAGTAAGGTGCTTGCTAATAGCTACAGGCTTCATTCGCTGGAAGCCATTTTTAATCTCTGATATGAGGAAGTGGTTATATACAGCTGACAAGATAATTAATTCTGAACGAGTTTGGCGCCATGCATATGAGTGGTTAGATATGACGCGGCTATTTAAAGAAATGACTCAACTTTTCAGGTTAATGCTTTGGTTTTTCGCAACTTTTGGGGTGAAACTATATTTAGCGCTGCCTATTCTATGTAAAGTTTCCTGATTTCAGATACTATTTTTTGTATAACTGATCTATACACAAAGGTATTTAAATTGTTTGGTATTTACGAATTCCTCATCCCGATTTTTTATAATATATTCAATGTTATATTGCCTTCATTCCAATTTCATGACATAGCTGATTCGATTTGAAGGCACTTTGCAAATCATTGTGATTTTCTTATCATTGAGATGTGCGCTTCAGATTGTGTGCTGGATTCCGAACATGGCCCTCTTCTCGGACTCATTTTTGTTTCTTCAACATCAACAGAATGAACCCGTTGTTGATACTGTAACTACGCTGAGCTCACTCTGGTTACAGTTCAAGGGCCACATGCGATTTTTATTTCAGAGTCAACCTTCTTTTATACTGGTTGTTAAATACGGTGAGAGATCCGACATGGTCCTTCGATTAAACCCGTGCCTGGCGGCAGAAGGGTATATGGGACGGATTCATAGTGTTCCCACGAGTATTTGGGTAAAAGTGAATACAAAATTCTGGACAAGAATTTGAACCCAGCTCATCGACAATTCAAGGCGGGACTCTATTACATCTCCAGGGAGAAGAGCTGATCGGGGTGGTATTATTCTGAGGAAGGTAATCTTCATGATAATAGACGCAGGTTTTCTATGAAAACAGGGACGAAAACAAAAAGAATGGGAAAATTGTTTTGTGATGGTTTGATTTTCTTATTTTACGGTTTATCAACATTTTGTGGGTTATTTATCACTGAAACATTTTGCATCATAATAATAATTCTTTTTTATTTTATTTTGCTACTGAATATTGCGTTAACATTTTTTTAATATAGCAATGATTTTACGAGATACGGGTCAGCCTATTTAACCCATAGCTGGGGAGTAAGAGAACATATGTTGTGAAACATAGGGATTAGATTTGTATTAAATGACGTATTGGTATTTTTTTCAAAGAGACTAGAAAGCAAGAGAGCAGGAGATTTGTGACTGCAGATGTTCTTTCACGACTATAAGCACACCAGATTCATTCAGTTTTGCATAGTTCGATAAAAGGCTATCTATTATCCACTGTATTTATCTCTGAGATGAGGTATTATGTACATTATTTACATTATTCAGGCTATTATCCTCATCTTTTTCGTCATATCTATCACAACGTTTCGGCCGTTGTACGCTCCGGCCTTCTGGATAAATGCGTTGGTTAGATCCAGTGACAGGACCGAAAGAGTGTGAGTTCAATACCCGGTTAAGGCAGTGGAGAACTTTCAGAGGGAAATTAACAGGAGATAACTGATAACTGACATCCATCAAACATGGCACGTGGAACTAGAACAGTCTACCCCAGTGAGCGAAATAAAGGGTTCAGTTCGACATTCCAACCACCTGAAGAAGGCCGGAGCGTACAACGGCCGAAACGTTGTGATAGATATGGCGAAAAAGATGAGGGCAATAGTCCGAATAATGTAAATAATGCGTTTTCTGTATTAAAATATGTATGTGAAAATTATGGTTTGAAAAATTATTTTTATTTATCAAGCTATTGATATTAATATACCAACCAACCGGTTTCTCTACCTACCTACCTACCTACATATAATGGCCAATTATTCGTTTCCGGCAAATCTGTGTTTTTCAATACCTAAAAAAAGCCATTTAAGGTTGATACTGAATGTAAGCTGAACAAACCTATGTTACAGTTTGAGAGCTCATCATCTGGCATGATCAACAACTTGAACAAGGTCAGTGCGTACATAATCTATGTCATTTGTTACATCGTACTAGCAAAACCGTTAATGGCCGCCGAACAACGATTTGCGTCAACTCGTGGTATGGTTTACAGTAGAGACTTCCACAAAAAAGCGATACTAATATTTCAAATGGATTTTTAAAATTGAAAAATCTTTCTCAAAGTTTTTATTTTAGTTTTAATTTCATCAGGAAAAGGCAGCTGAAGTTTCTGGGACACACAATGAGGAAGGAGGGCTTGGAGAATCTGATACTCACTGGTCAAATAGCGGGAAAGAGAAACAAAGGAAAACAACGCATGACATACTTAGCGGGCTTGAGCAAGTGAATGACAAAACGTGGACTGGGGTACATGGCAGAGAGAAGAAATTTGTTAAGAGCTGCAAGGGATAAAAGGAGATGGAGAGCCCTGATCGCCTACGTCCTGCAAAGACATGGCACATAAAAAGAAAGATTAAATTTCATATTTCCAGTAACCAAAATAGTTTGCTGTATTTCACAAAACTAAATTATTCTCTTTATTAAAAACATCTTCCAAAAATAAAATATATTTTTCTGAAACTTTATTTGAGAAATATTAGATGACTTAAAATATAATAAATCTGATTTGAGAAAAATATTATTTTCTTTAAGTTTAAGGTAATGCATTTTTTACCCCGTAGTTGTGATCTAAACCCGGCAGAAGCTGTGTTGACGTGTTGACAGTCCGAAGACACGATTTTGTTCTACGGAGACTTTATCCGTAAAACCTAATTGAAGAAAATGACGTGAGCGCATTTTATATATAATTTTAAGTACTCAGAAATCTTAGAAAATTAGGAACATATTCTCGGTAATCTAATGTTTTTTTTTTTTTTAATTTTAGAAATGTTACACTTAAATTTACTATTTATCGATCATATTTTCTGATAATGTCATGCATCGTCATCCGTACTGCCAAAAGTCGTCACGTTTGTACACATACAAAAAAGATTATTTTTAAAATATTGGTGTTTATAGTTAATACAGAATTTTTTTTAAATTTAAATCTTAAATTTTTTCAATTAAAATTTTAATAAAATGAAAACAATTCTTGTAAAAATTCATTATTCATCGACTTTTTTGTCTTAAGACATCAGTATCCTTAATATACTTTATGGATAAAATCTATTACATGCTTTTCTAATTACATAATGTCATAGCTTTATTGCATTTTTTATTTTACGATTCAGAGGAGATTTTCGGTAAATGGTGTTTATGTTCGGCTAAAAACAAATTGATGAGTTAAATTTGCCAAGATATCCTGCTTTTAACTAATATAAATATAAAAAAAAAACTGAAATTCTAATTTATCGAAATTTCAAAAAAATTTCGTAACAGACGTAATAGAACAATCTTTTTAGCAAGATTTTCTAAAAAAAATTCAATAATACTTTCATTCATTTGTGAATAAGCCCTGAAAATGATATTAAAATCCGACATTTATTTGATTTTTGATAGAATTTTCCAAACAATGTGTTTTTAATGCCACAAATGTCGCTAAAATTTCCAATACTAAACTTTTGACTCAATAAAAAAATTTTAACCAAAATTTCGATCTACTGGAAAAGATTAAAAAAATTAATCAAATAATAAAATATATTTTGGGTTTTCCTCTTAATAATAGCAGAAACATTTTTGACGATATAAGATTGTTTTTATCAAGTTTGTTTTTTTTTTCAGTATGGCATGTTCGGTTTTAGAAAATCTTTGGAAGTACCTTGTTTGCAAGTATTTTCCAGAATTGTCGCACGCCGGGATCGCTTCCCCCGGCCGATAAAATAAAGTTTACAAATCGACCATTTATAATAGACAACGAAAGAGAGATGAGCACGTGTTTCTTTCTGATCATGATAACAGGACATTAGAACAGAGTTTACACGCTTTGTGTCCAGAAAAAAATTACTTATAAGAAAAATTGAATAAAAAGCTTAATCGTAGTATTCTGACTGTCGTCTTCAATATATATATATATATATATATATATATATATATATAGAGAGAGAGAGAGAGAGAGAGAGAGGAGAGAATTGTAGTTTAAAAGTTTAAAAACAGTAAAATCGACCTCACTAACCGAAACGCTCCTCCGTGGCTAAATCGGTAAAGCACGTCGGGCTGCATGACGGTTCTATGTAGGATACAGGTGCGATTCCTGTCGGAGG